TTGGCTCTTCTGATCCATTTTTCTTCATTATTGATGTTCCACCTTTCTATGTCTCTTCTCTGGTAGATGGCCCTATTCAGTTTTCTACTCTGTCATTTTTGGCAAACTGTATGATTCAAGTAGCATTCTCTTTTTAGTCTATCTTTCCTTTCTATACTTGGTTTTGTTTCTTTTCTCATACTTAATCTTATCTACTTTAGCTATCCCTTTTTAGTTAATCAGACTTCCAGGGGCTTATCTATTTTACTGGTTTTTCTCCTAGGAGAATTGACTTATTGATCTACATTTTAAATGTTTTTGATTGTTTTCTATTTCATTAACTTAATTTTCTCCCTACTAATTCTTACCCCTTGCATTTTTATTTTCTAATTTCTTAAAATGGATATTTAATTCCTTCCTTTCTTTAATCTCAATGGCATTTAAGTCTCTTCATTTCCCTCTGAGAAAGGAAGAAAATTTACCTAGGTATTGTTTTACTATGTTACATAGATATTCTTTTGAAGTGCTCTTTTCCTTGCTTTCTAGTTTTTTATTTTACCTTGAATTTTTCTTAGATTCAAGGTTTTTTAGTTACTCTTCATATTTACCTTAAAAACTGGTTATCTTGATTTCATACTTTCCATTTTATTGTATTTTATCTTTAATTATGCACAGCTTTTTTTTTTTTTTCTCTTTCTTTCCTTGTTTTTTGTGCAGTTGATCAAGTTACTATTCCTTCCATGCTTCCCTTGTTAATTTGGGGATTCTACTGAAATTTTCCAATCAAAAGAGTTACTATTATTATATTCAGACATTTATGAATATAATATTTATTGAAACTAAAATAGTTATGATTTTTTCCACCAACCTACACTTACATCCCCACAGAAGCCAAAGCCAGGATGTTTTTTTCTGTTTCAAAAGTCCTTAAAAACTTCCAGGAAATGTTTTACCCCAGCAAATGGTGTCTAAGTATAAGATTCATAGACAGCACTTTCTCCCCTTCACTCCTCTCCATGTTATTGTTTCATTTCTTGTTGCTCACCATCTTCCAGTATTAGAGATGAAAAGCCTGCTGATGGCCTGATTTTTTCCCCTTTGGGGGATATTTTATTAATTATGCTTGGGTAATTGCCACCTTTAAAAAAAAAACTGTTCTTAGAATCAGAAACTTTATTGGGATTTTCCTAGATGTGTCCTTTTCTGATCTGTATAGCCTGGTGCAAAATCAGAACTTTTTATTTCAAGGACATTTTATTTTTCTTATTTCTTTCAATAATGCTTTTTTCCATAATTGCTTTTTTTCCCCTCTGGAACTACTATTTTTATTTATTTCCTATCCACTATAATTTTCATTATGCTGTATTTTTGCTCTGCTTTGAGAAAGGTTGGCACTTGATCTCCCAAGCCTCTCATGTGTAATAACCAACCTCAACTTTGACTCATCTAATAAGTTACTGTGGGTGGTTGCATTGCTGTTGGCCACTATTCATTCTTCATTCTTTGCATGATACAGTCCTGTCCCACAGCATTCGGGTTTGGCTATGTGGCATGTTTGCCTGATGACTATGAATTCATGGGATCAGTGCTATGTTTGAGCCTAGCCCATGAGAGGAATGGGCTCCACCAGCACCATCCCTTCTGCCATGACAAGGGCATTTTTCAAGGCAGCACTGCTCCTTCTCCTTGGGCTCCAAAGGGGGAAGGCAGCTGCAGCATCCCTGCAGAGAAGTCCATGTAATAGGAGCCAGAAATAAATCTTTGTAACTTGGAAGCCATAGAGGTTTTTTGGGGGGTGGAGGGGTTGTATCCACACACTTGATCAATGAATTCTTGTCTTCCAAATGTACATGGCTACAGGAAATAATGTAAGTAAATGCTGTACCACTTCATGCTTTGGCCCCTTTAACCAATGGAAATAGAGCCAGTGATGCCTTTAAATCTAAACAGAGAATCAATTCTAGAAAATGCAGGACTAATTTGGAGAAACGATCAGTTTCAGATTCAGCTCTTCTGGAGCCATGTCTAGTACCAAATTCTCTCTCATGGTTTGCTCAGGGAAGTAGAAACACCAGGGATGGTATCTAACCAAGGATAGATGGGGATTTGACTTTATGAAACTCTGAGAGCTGGTTCAAGAGTGCGTGAAACTGTGCCTCCCTAGTCTAGACATGGGACCCACCACAGGTACGGCAGACAGCTCTGAAGGAAAGATGGATGTGAACTGTAGAGTGGTGAGTGAACAAGGATCAGGGGCTCTGGGAGGACAAGCTGGAATCCACAAGGATGGATCGGAACTCACTGGTCTCTAACAGTCTACTCTGATGGTGTTGGACCAGCAGTAGAAGCAAGGACCCTTCAAAATGGTGGTAAATCTGTAAGTGGTGCAGGAATCTGAGAAACTGGAGAAACATATCCAACAGGATCTGAAAGTGCTGAGGCTTTGTCTGTTGTCCCCTTCCACAAGGTGAACCAAGGGGTAAGTGACACAGTGCCCAAGAGGACATGGCTGGGCTTCACTGCTGTTCTCCAAATCTCACACAAAACATCTCTTGTTTTGTAGCCCACACGAATCTGGAACTATGCAGAGAAGGGAATTCTGGAAACATAATTCCAGCTCTGCTAAAAGTGGACAACAATAGGGCCTATGAAAACTTCTCAATTAATATTTAATAAATGAAGGAATGCACAAAGGAGTAATTGATCACATTGAAGATTTAACTACAAGGCACTTCGGGTATGTAAATGATCAATTATCTTCTTTTCCTCCAGGAAACTTAAACTTTCTGTTGCTGAGAAATATATTTATTACCATTTTGTTTGTTTACTTGTTAGCTTCAAGTCTCTCACCTGATTCCTTCCTTAAAGCATCGTCTCAGCCCATCCGGTAGAACTTATGCTTGCATCCGTCTCAATCCATTTGTCTGTGTCAAGGAAGTTCTATTGCGATAGATTAACCAAGCATCTCTTCCTCGATGTTTTGATTATTCTGAATGTCTATCTCAACATGCAAGAGTAATCAAGTGCATTTATAGAAAGGGTTCAGGAAGAGATACAAGATAATAAAAACTGAATCTTGTTTAATGGAGCGTGCGATGTTCACTTCTTTAGATAATGAAAAAGAGAAGGATAGATAAGGAAAATAAAGATTAGCTGCTTTCCCTCACCTCAAACCTCAATCCTAATACATCTATAATAAGCCACCGTCTATCAGAGTAAAGGTAAATATTGAAAAATTAAGAGATGAACTGATAATGATTTATTAATATGAAATGATTTTCCAGTATGACCCAATTTGGATATAGATATAATTCATTAAGAGTAATTAGAAAACTGATTCACACTGAATTGTTTGGTGCCAAAATATAGTGTGTGTGATCCCAGTGTGTTAGGGACTCTCTTACTAGCCGTGGTTCTCAAACTAGCATGGGAAAGAATCATGAGGAGGGCTTGTTAAGGCATACATTATGGGCCCTGCTCCCAGAGTTTCTGATTCACTAGGTCTGGGATGGGGCCAAAAATTTGCATTTCTGACAAGGTCCCAGATGATGCTGATATTGCATGTCTGAGGACTGAACTTTGAGAAACACTGTTAGACTAAAACCACTGAAAGAGGGTGGATAGTCTGTATCTTATTTGTCAGGATCCCTTTAAGGTATGTCTTGCAGGTACCTGCAATTAACTCCACAATTAAAGTGCTTATTATCACAAATGGCTAAACACTAAGCTATATGTCAAATCATTGCTTAGCACAACCTTAAGTTAAAGCATCCACTGTATGTCTTGTTATCCAGCCAATACAGAGACTTGAGCCAGGCATTTAAAACCTTGTTTAAATAGATACAGTTACTATATCTAATCAACATAGCAGTGGGGCTTGCCAAAAACCTATAAAACTAATGGATTTGCAAGAAAATTACATCACCTTCAAATCAATGCTGTAACACAGGTGGCATTTGTAAGAAGTAAAGAAACTGACATTAACACAGCCCATCTCTGCTGTCTGCCAGTGAGTATTCCAGCTTTGTTAAGGAAAGATGGTCTCCCTTCCAAGAATTATATTTAAATATTCCAACTTAAATCATTCTAAAACGGTGTAGGAGAAAGGATCAGTGACTTTTCTAAAATCTGTCAATTGATAGGTTGGGAATATTTGGGTCTAAGGACCATAGGGCTGTCCTTATCCAGCAATGGGTGAACGGTTTTTAAAATATGTGGATTTTTTCCTATTGAAACAAATAAAAGAATGACCCTTCTAACTCAAACATCCCTTGCTCCATCACCAAAGAGGCCTACAGAAATTACAGAGCACAGTTTAATGAGAAAGCAACTGAGGACATGCATAACCTCTGCTCTGGGGACCTGCATTGCTTAGCAGATGGAATTAAAATTCTGATAAGTGATATAAGAGGTTTGTGAGGGAGGAAATTGGTGTGTGGTCACATTGTCTGCCTTAATCCCCTTCACTTTGCACTACCCAGGTTGTTGTTAAAACCAATCCGTGAGGAATCATTTTCACCTTGAAAACTGCAGATGTTCATGTGAAGCTTAGAAATAAAGCTCTCTGGAAAATGCTTTCCTGGATAATCCTGGAGAAATAGAAAGCACGTGCTGAAAGTATGCACGTGCGTGCGCGCACACACACACACACACACATATGTGCCTGCTTGCACACCGCCCTCATAAAAGAGCTATATGAAATTAGCATATTTCCTAGGAAGAGATATTGTGATATTGTACGCTACGATTTAATCAGCTACAAATCTATTCAAGCATAAAAATAGCTTATATTCCACTGACTGAGCTGCGTAAATGTTCTACCTACATGACTAGATACTGACATAGAAATATTTGGATCACTTGGGTTTAGAAATACCTGTATACATTCCACTACAAACATTTTGTTACCTCCTTAAAAAAATAATAATTAGAGGGAGAAACTCACAAGCATGAGCCAACAATGGAAGGACCAAGTACTGACATGAATCCTATTCGGTCAGGGCCCCACACTTACGATATCCATTCACCTTAATTATTTCTTGTTCCAAATACAGCCACACTCGGGGTTAGGGTTTTACCATATGAATTTTGTGGACACATGCATTCAGCCCATAACACGCATAATGCCCATTAACAATGAATTTACTCAGCATTCACCTGTAGGCTTCTTCTAATTTAATCATGCAAAGAAAAGACAAACTATGAATTTTAAACACATTTCATTTTCAGCATTATCTTTGTTTACTGTGCTTCCACGGTTGCTATTTGGAAACTAAATGAGGAAGTGTAGCTTTTGCGGAAACGTTGCTTCCTGCTTTAGACTGAATTACTTAGTTCTCCTCCTGGCCCAGAGACGGAGGCTGGTATCATTTTCGTATCATACAGGAGGAAACAGTCGCAATCCTGGCAACCAAACTCCCTCAGAACTTGGAAAAAAAAAAAAAAAAAAGGTGTCAGATACTTCACAGATTTCTCCCGGGGCATCATCTGAGCTAGAGAAACTCCCTTTGTCCAAATTAGGTACTAATACTTTTTTGATGGAGAAATACAAAACAGAACTTGACTTCTTTTTCTGGTCCAAATTTCTTCCAATCATGTTATCTATGAAGAAGGTAGATGATATCACCACAAAAATAAGGAAGTGAATTAGCACCATTTTCTCATTTCAAACCCAAAGCAAGCACCCTACCACACACCCATTTCCCCTCGGATTTTAGATTCAGCTTCCGGTCACTCTCTCCTTGTGTCTTAGCCTTTGATTTGCCCTTTACTCCAATGACTCATGTTTTTCTCAATTAACAAATTTCCACACACACAAAACGATACGTATCCTCGCATCCAATACCGTCCTCCTTTTTCTAACGTAAGCTTGATCTCACTTGGCCCCTGACGTTGGGATGACAGTCATGAAGTCTTTACCCCAGAGTCGCTGCATTAACCAAGCAGTTTCTGCTCTGCAATGCCAGGTGCCATCATCCTCAACCACTTGTGATCTGAACGGTCTCCTCTGGAACAGCAGGTCACTATCGCAGCCTTCTGAGAAGAACATGTGAAAACATGGTGGAGAGAAGGTGGAATAAAACACTTTACTTGGAAGAATCTCAAGCACCAATATTTGCTAGGTTAATATATTTTATTGCTTTCATTTATTGATGCAGTTTTATTTAATAGTGTGCTGCAGATTTAAATGAACCCAACACAACTTTCCCAATTATTGACCCTGCGGATAATCCTTTTACACACGTGTATGTAGGTACTCTCTATCAGAATGAGGAAAGCAGTAACTTCGAAGTACAGATGGAACACTTTGAACATGGGGCATAAAGCATATATAACATAGCATCAAGTGTATGTCTGAGCTAACATTTTTCTGGTGGTGAGTGTGTCAACACAAAGCAGATCAAAGACTAAAAGACAGAGTGATAATGGTTTTCATCAGCTATATTCACACAATTCAAGTGAAGGCACAGATGGAAAACATTCCAATTGCAAAACGTTAACAGGCGGTATTGAGAGGAGAAAGAGCAATTAAGTCGAGCAATGAGCTATTTATGATTTCAGCTGCCTCGAATCTTGAATTTTCTTTACCACCATGTGGTTGTGGTTATTTCTTGAATGAGTTTTGGCCTAACGTATCCTAATAACAGGTTTTCAATTTGATGAAAAAAAGACACTTTTTTTGTAAAATAATAATGATAATAATTAATAATGTGCTATCAATATAGGGGACTTTTAGTATCCTTTCATTCTTCCTGATGTCCATTTTTTGTACAATGGCTGTGAATCCATCATCTTAGCCAAATGTAATGGTAAATGAGTCAGAGTGATATGACAAAACCAACAGGAAGTTCTAGTTTTATATACCAGATTTTAAGCTTCTTGCGGGCAGGAACCAACCAATTTATTTGTACTCCCAGCATCTAGCATACTGCCTCTCAAATAGGAGAAAAGATGCATTTTTGAATAAAGGAATGAATATATAACATATACATGTTTAACCTATATTCAAATAAACAGAACATTATCAAACATATGAAGCAATAAAATTGTCCTAAATTTAATTTTTATTCTGTGATTCAGAAAGAACTAGGATCTTATCTCTAGTCCTCCATCAGTGGTGTGCAAGGTAGCAATCAGATCTGGATTATTTTAGCTTTTGGTTATTGGTACTCTTGATGGGTACTGTAAAATTTGTTATCTTCTGATGGTTTTTAAAGAGCATTAAAAGCCTTTAAATCCTCCCCTTTCCTGTAAAATGGCTAAGAATGCCTTTCTTTGTTTTTTAACATGGCCTGGGCCTTGAGGAACGTCTCTAGCAGTAATTAATAAAGATGGAGCACACAAGGCAACCTTTTTCCTAGAAGCTGTTATAAATATATCATTACAACAGCTTTTGGTTTCCCACATAAACTCTTCTCTCACTAAGAGTTATCAATTCACATCCACAGTGAGAATCTTCCAAGTCCAGAATGATGTTCTTTGTTTATTTGTTTGGGTTTTTTGGGGGTCAATTTAAGGCATATGTATAGAAAAGCAAGAACTGTTGGTTAAAAAGGAGGCTAGCCTACAAGGATGCTCTCTCACATTGAAGAAGGCCTATTCCCGCAGCTCTCCTCATGGTCCATCTTACTGGAATAGCCCACCAGCAGCTGGGCATATTTGGTAGGTCCTTTCACTTCTAGGACCTTCACTTAACAAGAGCTGAAGGGGTTATTTTAATATGGAGTTTATAATAACCAATAAAGGATTAATATGGGGGAAAGAAAATTACCTCGTGGAATAAACAATTTACAGCATATTCATTCACTCCATAAATGTTTATGGAGAACTGTCCATATGCCAAGAAATGTGCACCTAAACATGGTGCCATTTGCCTCTGTGCCCATACATTAAATAAAAAGTAAGCAACACACAGGCATAATTGAAACCTAGTAAATGGGATTGCCTCCTCACCGTGGAGTTGGCAGACTCATCTAGAAGCAGTGGGACAAGGGGTCCTAACTGGTGTGTTCATTCAGATCTTCCCTCATCATGACAATTCTATGGCTCTAGCTTCTACAGTCATTTGTGCAGACTGGCTGTGTTGTGCTTTGAAATCTTCTAAGATAACGATGGAGCGTTCTCGATCTCTGCCAACTACACCTCTTCAAGTCTCATCCATATGTCCTCTATGCTTCTGCTGGTGACAGTTCTTCCCTTGTACCACTCCTGATCCCTAATTACTACCGCCTAAATCTAAGCAATGTTTGTAACCATTAAAAGGTACAAAACCTTTTTGGTGGCTTGAAATGTTTGCAAATATGTCCCAACTTCAAGTGGGTGTTGGGTTGAGATTTAGAAGCCTCTTCAGAGTAAGAGGAAATAAAAATAACTTCTGAGATGAAAGCTTATGGTCATTTACCCCCATGTTTTACCTTTGATCCAGGAGAAAATTCTCTTCATTCTTCACCCCTTCCCAGTCCCAGCCCTGTGGTCACTCTCCACTATTGCAGGAGAAGTCAAGAGATGGATCAGACCAGTTAGACACTTCATATATTTGCACTCGTGTACAAGGCAAACCCCCTTTTCAGGTGAACTTCTCTTCACTAATTAAGGCCAAATTTCTTCTCTGTAAGACTATCAGTAGGTTGTAGAGTTTTTGTTGTTTTACACAGTATTCATATTACTGCAAAAGTACTTATATCCCACTGTAACTTAATTTTGAGTGTCTTCTCTAAGACATTATAACCCTCTTGAAGGCGGAGGGGATGTCTTTGTATTTGCACTCCTATTGCCCAGTTCGGTGACAGTTACACTGTAAGTTACCAGGGAATAATATTTAGAAAAGAAATAAACGAGGTAATTAAAAATACAACTTTCTGCAAAAAGAATAATCTGTCTTCCTGGGTTTTTTGCTGCTTAACTGTTTCATGCCTTTACATATGGGATACATTAGTAACTAAAAGGGAAAGGGCAAACACTTATTTTTAATTAAAAAATCATGATGTGATGAAAGTTAAGAGGAAATCATATTTTTATTTTGAATAGCTTTATAGTGCTCAGGATACAGGTGAAGTTCAGACAATGAAAAGTCTTCCTATTTTCCACTTGGTTTCAAGCAAATGTGAAGACTAGATAACCGAGTGGCCCCACTTCCCTCTGCTTCTTTTGACAAATTTATCCAGATCACACTGTCATGGATCCACACTGAACAATCCAGGGTAACCAGCAGGCTAATGCAAATGGCCATCTGCTTAGCCAAAAATTGGTAAGTGCAGACTATGCTGCTATCCCACTGATAGCCATTACAAATTGATCAGGTCAAACGCAGTCCTTCTCAGAATGTATGATATTTCCCACCACATTCCTCATTCTTACAATGTGTTGAAAGACACCTGACTTCGCATTTGCATCCTACCTAAACACGGTGATTTAGTAGTCTGAAACAAAGAGTCATTATAATATTGCTGCAACTTGAGATAAATATTTTCTGCAAATGTGAAATCATGCTTCATGTGGGAGGAGGATATTTTAGAATAATGTCAACTGAGTTATGTTGGCTGATATTCACTTTGTTTTCAACTGTGGGCATAAACAAATGAACAGATTTATTCCTTCTGTCACCATTACCCTGACACAAGTCATAATACTCTAGAAAGCACTTAACACTTGGAAGAGTGTATTTTAGAATAGGAATATTATGCCTTATTTTTAAAGGTTTTATAACCATTGGAGTTTTGGGGATCATGTGACTCTGGAAGCATATGAGTATATCAAGAGCTTTTCACGTCATGGGCACTGACTGGGATATATTTTCGCTCATAGTTAGTCAACAAATGCCAAAAAAAAAAAATGCAAAAAAAAATCTTATTCACCTTTGGCTATCTTTTATGGAACTCTCTGGATCGATGCTCTAAATATATTCTAAACATCTTTTTACTGCCTCTGGATTCTGAAGGGAATGTTCAAGCACTTTTAGATTTAATAGTGTTTGCTACTCCTTCATGCCCATTTTTCTTAATCCTCTCTTTATGCTTTATATTGAAACAGTTCTTCATCCTATGTACATATTACAAACTGCTAAGGACAAGAATAGGCTAGTCCTGGGAAGAGGGATCGTCTTCAAACTGGGAGGCTTATTGCCATTAATACTTGAAACTGTAAAAATAAAGTTTTAAGGAATGTACAAAAGAAGAATGGATGAAAGACAAAGCTAGGATGAAGCATAATCCCAAGGCAGTATAACATTGAGATTTGGAAGTATAACATAGCAGTTAAGAAGCAGAACTGTGGATTCACATCATCTGGTTTCCAACCCCTACTTTGCTTCTCTATGCCATCAGTTTTCACATATGTAAAATAGAGATGATAATAATAATGTCTTATAGTTGTTAGAAAGATTAAATAAATTCATGCAAAGTAATAAAAATGTGCCCGAGGGGTGCCTGAGTGGCTCAGTCGGTTAAGCATCCGACTCTCGGTTTCTTGCTCAGGTCCTGACCTCTGTTTCTGAGATCAAGCCCTTCATCAGGCTCCGTACTCAGCACGGAGTCTGCTTATCCCTCTCCCTCTTCTTCTTCCCCCACTGTCACTCTTTCTCAAATAAATAAATAAATAAAATCTAAAAAAAATGTGCCTGAGAAAAATAATAAGACCTTAATTCAGCTTAAAGAGCTAGGTAAGAAATGCAATGCACTATTTGATATTTGGCAAATGCATGTCATTGAACAAAAAGATTAAAAATACATGAAAGCACATACATGAGAAAGTATAATCACAATTATAATAATGCATTTTAGATACTTGACCTGTATTCACTTAAGAAGTATTATTGAGTACTTACTGTGGACCAGGCATTGTGAGCTATTAAAAGACATGGTCCCTATCTCCCCCCAAGTAGTTTATGGAGAAGGGAGAAGAGGAACACCAAGAACAATGCTATGAGGAAATGCTTTGTCAGAGACGAGAGAGGAAGGGACTGTCCAGGCAATTTAGCATGTGTGCCAGACTGTAGGGAAGAAAGGCAAGAAATAACAAAGAGCCTTCACTGTCATATTAAGTGGTTTGGTTTTTACCCTTACTAGTGGGAAGCATTTGAAGACCGTTTTTCAGCTCACGGTCTACATTGGGGGAAAGGAATGGAGGAACGTATAGGTGAAGGCAGGGAAATCACTCAGGTTGCCATTTCAGGAATTCATACTCTGGGAGGGAGCCGATTACTCTAAACTAAGACAGTGGAGTTGAGACAATGAACAGACAGAAGATCTGAGAGACATTAAGATGGAAGAATATACAGAGAATGTTGTCACCAATTGGATTGAAAATTTAAGGGAGAGGGAGTTCAGCATATATCCCCAAGTTACCTGATTTAGTTAACTGGGTGGTTGAATTTGTCACTAATCAGGAGGAAGAACATGGAAGGATTAGGTAGATTTAGGTAAGATGGTACTGTTTCCAGATTTGCATCTAGTTAGACAGATTCATATGTAAATTTCTGCAAAATGAGCTTAGTTGACAGGAAAAGATACTTGTTTATTACACAGAAGAGAGCTCTGCAGTTGGGAGTTACCTCATAAAAATGGTAGTTGTAACCACGAGAGCCGTATTTTCACCCAAAGGGAGTGAGTGGAATGGGACAAAAACAAATGCTAATGATGAAATCCCGAGGAATGCCAACAGTTCACAGGTAGGAATGGGCACGTACTGAGAATTGTCAAGAATGCCTGCAGGAAAACTGAGACAAAGTGGCGTCACTGATATATGTTCTTTGTCATTAGCACCTGAAAAGTCAGGCACAGTCCATGACTGTCATGGAGTGTCCAGGTGGGGTTGCTGAGGTGTGTGTTCACAGGGAAGGTGCAGCAGTGTGGAAGAGCTAGGAGTGCAGGTTGCTCTTTCTAGAAGTTTGGCAGAGTAACAGCTAAAGGGAGATGGGTGGCCTTTGCTTTCGTGAGGCTGTTAGATTTAGATTTGAGCAGGTTTGGCTGCTAGATGGCAAAGCTATCTGAGAGGAGTAGACAGTGTTTGCAGTAAAATACGGTGGGATCCAGAAAATAGAGGTACAGATATAGGAAAGGAAAAGCATGATGGTTTGGGATACAGTTTGAGGTGTTCTTGACTGACATTCTCTACGAAAAAGGAAATGGATGCTTATCTCTGGAGAATGATAATGAAGGAATGACATAGAGGGTTTGAAAGGAGGGTTGACGGCAATAGTTGATGTAAAGATTAGGAAAAGGAACCAGTGAGGAAAGGATCGCTGGTTGGCATCCCAAGCCCAGTAGGATGGCTTTGTAATGGTGGCACAACTCCTCGTGCTAGACTAGACCACAGATCTCACTTGTAGGCTTGGTGGTCTAATGAAGAAGGTACAACAAGGCAGCGCTTTTTGCAAGCTATGCGAGCCCAGGGATAGTTGATAAATGGGACTGCTCTGATTGGCAGAATCCATACCCTGTTGTAAACACCCGGGGATAAGGGGTTAAGAATTTGGATATTGCTCTTGTGGAGGGAACCACACAGCCCCCATAGTGCAGACACCCCTGAGTTATCTCAGCAGATCTATAGCTGGGTATCCTTGGCTACACCTTCCTAAGCCATCGGCACACAAGACTTTCTTGAGAAACATCAATGATTCCAGACTTAAAGAGATATAACTTTTGAAGTTAGGTAAAGACCATGATGTCTTACCCACAGTGAGTTGTTAGCAAGCATCATATGAACCTCTTCATGAGATTCAATCTAATAGTATCTTTACATTTAGGGATAAAGCCTTATAAAAACATCATGATTACTTATAGACTTGTCCCATTATATGTCTGTCCTTCAGTCAGAGAAGTCTGAATGTTCATATATACCAGGGAGTATGTTTTGTTTTCTGTTATTAAAGCATATTTCAGATTCGTATTTTTGTCACATTTTCTTAAACACATTTATAACATTTATTGCATTCACCATTTTTCTTTCTCAACAAAAGGCAGCATCCTCAAGGGAGACAGAACAGAGTACTAAGGAACAGAGGAATCCTAGGATAGAGTCCCAGTCTGACCACTTATTAATGTGCATTATCTAACCAGCCAGGTAACCCCTCAAGCCTTGCCTTGGCTTTCTTCCTTGTTAAAAAAAAAAAAAAAAAAGGTTTGACTAGATATCATGATGGTTTCCAGTTCTAAAAATCTTGTATAAGATTTTTAGAAATTTCACTTTGCCAATTTGAACTGTAGCATGAGAAGTCCAACAACCAGGAACACCTGCCATTAGGGTAGGTAGCAGACCATGGCCATAGATTCTAGAAGCCCAATACTGACCCCAGAATTTTACATGGCAGCAGCATAATCGTTCCTACCAGGATGTTCCATTAATGCGTGACTTACTGCCAGGGGATTCACCTGCTGACACAGTAGAACTCCTAACTGGAAGCATTAACATTGCAATGTCAGGTGGGGGAAAAAATTGTTCATAAATTCCATAAACGTGCACTGCTTTCTTTGGGGTCCTGGTTGCAAACTCATGATTTATGCTGTGTACAGTAGGCCATCAACATATCCCACTGGGAAATTAGTTTGCAATTTAGAATCGTTTCAAAGTACAAGTGATTCTCAAGTCATTTTCTGAGGTTAAATGAGAACTCTTATTGCTTTCTGTGGGCTCAGAGGGAATTTTGACTCTACCGTGTTCCCTCCTCCCCCCAGCTTCTGCTGCACTGTCATGATTTTTCTTTCTTACGTGTGCTTCGGTGCTAAATATTTTTTTTTCTCTCCCAAGTTTTGAAAGCCAGTAAATGGGATGGTATTCGTTGCCTTTTTTCGCTTGCTGGGACCTCGGAAGTACCTTCCTTTGGATTACTGCTTTCTTCCGTCGGAGACTCTCCGGACCGGCTCGCCTCGCCAAGCCAGGACTGATTTTGGAAGATCGAGTGGCATCCACTCTAGGAGGCAGTGAATCAGAGTCATCGTCCCTCTGAGTGTGTTCCAGCCTTCTCGCTCCAGGGGCCAGGCTGTGGAGCAAGGACGCCGCAGCTGCGCTGAGGGCAGGAGAGTATCTAGTAACTCCAAATGGAAATCACAGGTTCAACTTGGCTTATGAGCCCAGAAGCAAAGAGCAAATTATTAGGATAAAAAGGTTCCACTGACACTTTTCACTTTCACGCACCCCTCTGGTTATTTGAGTCTTTCTTTTAGAACTTCCTTAAGCATTTTTTTTTTAAAAGATTCTATTTATCTATTTGACAGAGAGAGACTGAGAGAGAGAGAAAGAGAGCATAAGCAGGTAGAGGGAGAAGCAGGCTCCCCGCTGAGCAGGGAGCCCCACATGGGGCTCGATCCCAGGACCCTGAAATCAAGACCTGAGCCAAAGGCAGAAGCTTAACAGACTGAGCCCCCCAGGTGCCCCAAGAATTTTTTAAAAACTTGATTTCATTGGTAAAATGTGGGCGTGCCCCCCCTCCTACCCCCAGTCTTACCTTAACCCCGGGAAAGCTGGCCTCCAACCTCCTGGTAGGTAATTTATAACCTGATATTATCCTTAGGGAATAAATAGCATTATTTTAAGTGTATTGGTTTACCCTTTGTCATTCCCAGAAAGTAAAAATTAATCCACAGTGTGAAGATCTTGTAGGATTTTTTTTTTCCTTTCCTCTGTTCTCAGCAAGTGTCTGAAATTATTAGGTATAATAAACCAAGATCAAACAGAAAATAAACCAGCGTTGTTAAGCCACATCAAGTGGCTCTCCTCCCCCGCTCGGGCAAGAAGCACTAGAATTTATCTGAAATCAGGATTTCAACATCTCTAATGCATTGGGGGAGTTCTTCCATACGCATGGACTCGAAAGTATACAAACCAGAGGAGATTAAGTGTTTAGTTTCAAAACACATGAAATCACTAGTTTAAACATAGAAACTACACACAAAGAGTGCAAAGAAACAATGAAAGCGAGAGATCAACAGAGTAAATACCACCTAGAAAATACTAACAGTCTTAAAGGTCAGAAATCCTTGGTCAAACAAGAAGACCCATTCATTAAAAACAATCAGTTAAGGGATAAGCTGAGAGCAGCAGACTGCAAATTCCCTTTAAAAGCAGAAGTTATTCAGTGAAAAGCCATTAGCTATGTGCCCTCGAGGTAACTAAATAGAGCAGGTAACAATCAGAAACTGAAACCCAAAGAAGAAACCTCCAAAAATCGGTGAAACTGGGAATTGCTTAAAGCAGAACTTCAAAAGCACAGGAGAAAGGCTTTTGTTGTGTGGATATCCACCTTGAAGGTTCAAAGGTTCGGGGTGCCCAAGCTCTTGGGTACTGCGTGGACGAAGAACCAAACTATTCACTCAATTCAGGGTCCTGAGTGAGTCTTCACAGGTTGACCTTGGCTTTAAATGCTTTCCTTAATGACAGATCATTTGAGTCTTTTTCTGTCACTATGTGAATGTGAAAACTCTTCAAAAATATTCCCCCTTTTCCTTCAAGCTTTGAAAGAAGCAGATGTTGGATTGGTCTGCTGATGTCTTGGGTGGTTTTGGTTTTTTACAACTTCTCTTGGCCTTTGCTCGGTGAAATCATGTTAGGTATGATACCTTGCATGGACAACATCTTCGAACCTTTAAGAACACTCAAGTTGGGTGGTATTTATAAAGACATTTCTCACATGTCCAGCAATTCCTTTTCCCAGGCTTTCATATCATGATTTTTACTTTTAGGTAGCATACTAATTATTTATCATGAAAGCTAATCATCTTCTCATGGGTATGGAGATAGGCCGAACCCATTAAGACCTTTCAACTCACAAGGACAGTGTTTTATTATTAAGGCAACTTCAGAGATGCCCACATGTTGAATGTTTCATGACAAAGTGAGTAGTTTATAAATAAGTATCCTACAGTGTGGCAAAAAAAAAAAGTAATAACAACACGCAATAGGACCTGCTCTCGTGACTTTTCCCTTTTCATATACGTTATTTGAGCAAGGGAAGAATTAGTTCTCTAGAAGGAGGATCACACTTCTAACCTCTCAAAGTTGTAACCTACCTTGGCTCTGTAATAGAGCTTTCCTTGGAAGGTCAATCATAAATTGCAAAAAATGGGAATAAATATTTCTTCCTTTCCTCCCTCCCCAAAATGCTGAGCTTGGCTTAAAAGCCTGATTCTCAACCACGTGCCAAAGGATGCTTTCTCTACCTAAAGGTTATATAACTAAATCCTTGAAAATAATTCCATAGAAGCAACGTCCACGGCAGGCCAATGTTTTCCAGATCACTAAAACCTAGTGTAATGGTACGCTTGCAGGTGAACTTTTATAAAACATATTATTGAAATCAATAAAAACTCAATGACTGTGGGGCAGCAGGAGAATTATGCTCATGTAGGTGGGTTGCACTGAGGCCCTAATTATGAGGATCACAACAATCAAAGTGATTTTTTTTTTAAGGACAACATAATTGGGCTCATAAACCTGCTATTCTAGTATATGTACACATGGCCGTGGATCTGGAAGGAACGATGCAGTTGTAACATCTTTAGAGGAAATTGTTGAAATAGGGAGTTGAAAAAACACAGAGCATCCTTTTCTTCATCTGGTGTTCACAAGTCTGTCCGTGTCAGCAACTCAGTCTCAAGACAGTCAAAACAGAGCCCTTCAGTTGACCTCATTCCCCCAAAGCTTTGCTGCTTTGCCACTCGGGGATCAACATTTTGGTGAATTTTTAAAAGTTTTATTTCTCAGGGCAGAGAGCAGGAGAGACCATAAATGCACGGCCACACTGATTGGTTTGGCTTGCTTTCTTCCTTTTTCAAGTTTCTTGGAAACATGGTGGCCCTCCCTGTGTAGGTTTTTAAAGATCTTCTGTCTGCACGCCCTTGGAAAAGAAAAAAAAGAGGAAAAAAAAAAAAAAGCAAAAGCAAAAGCAAAGTTTCTGTGGCACGTGGCCAGAGTTGACTTTAAAAAGCTGCTAATTTTGAACTCTCTTCTCTCCATTAGGGCCATGTAAGAATTATGCACACAAGGCTGAGGCTTTTCTCTGCTTAGAAAACATCTGCATTCAATTAGAAATATGCCTGAGTGTTGTGTTAATTCTGCAGAACCAAACAAAGTCATTTTTGTTTAAACTCTTTTCGTACTACGAGGATGAGAGGTTACAGGAGAAAAAGGGGGAAAAAAAAAAAAGCAAGCAGTAGAACAAAACTGCTATGGAGGCAAATAAGAAGTTCCTTCTTGAGAAGAGAGACCCCGCCATTTTTTTCCAGAATTTTCTTCTCTGCACTTCTCTCTTGGGGATTGATGGTGGGAGGAAGCCTACTCTTTCCTCTAAAAATGCAACTTTTAAAGCAATGGAAGTGATGAATCCCTAAATTCTACACCTGAAACCAATTTTACCGTATATGTTAACTAACTAGAATTTAAACAAAAACTTGAAAAAAAAAATAAATAAAGCCATGGAACATTCTCCAGATTCCTCCAAAATGGATTTGCCCAAAGAGTTGACGTGTTTGGCAAATGAGCAGTAGCATTTTATTTTTAATTTTGTGGAAAGCCAAACAAATCAAAAACTCTATTTATAGTCCATTGGGTGCATTTCACATCACTTTCACAATTCCTAAATATGATTGGTGTGCTGACCTCAAATATACTAAAAACAACGATTTCTGTTGAGACCCACATCATGCGGTGAACATCAGCACCCATGCCCACTTTTTGTTGACATCGGTAGCACTGAGTCTACTGGAGTTTGAATTTATCGCTCTCAAAGAAGTCTTTGGCTAACCATAGATTTAGTTTCTGCACAAGTCCGGTAGAACTACACGTTGGTGAAGCTGATAGTCCCTAAAAAAGGAGACTTCATTCATTCCTTTGAGCTTAAAGTTAAGTCTTACTGTTTCTCAGGTAGGTAGGGAAGGCAGATGAAGACCCTATTTTTGTTTGATTGAATGTTAAGGGATAGGATTCAGCCCTTAATCCACAACACCCCAAACTGCCCTCAGGTTCTTTCAGGTAGGTAAAAATATTTAAATCTCTGCTATTTAATCCTTATCAAAATGCAAGCTGTGAAGAAATGTTTGTGGATGGAGGCTTGATGGGCATGCTAAATATTTATTCTTTCATGTATTTTGACTCTATCTTTGGATCAAACCAAGGAACTGGGCATTGAACCAAAATGTTTGGCACCATCTTTATTGGTTTTCACTACATTGTCCAGTAACTTTATGCCAGTTGTCTATATTGAAAACACCATAAGAAACAGCCCAATAAAATGTGTCATTATACTTACTGTAGGATTATTTCTATTACGTTTTTTGATACTTGTTTATGAGAAGCCATGGGAGACATTTCTCGGATTTTGAGTTTGGGGTATTTTTTCCAGAATTATGGTTTTCTCTGTTTTTATTTTTGAGTCTTAGGAACACTGTGATTCTTGTAATTGATACTAGGTCCCTTTTTGTTTTAACTGCTAAAAGCTTTGAGGCCAAATTTGTGACTTGCTTTTAGTAACTACAGTGTGTCTATTCCATATATTTATACTCCTATTTATCAAGGGGTTAATTAGAGCATCACCCGAGAATCCCCCTTATTCTGTCTCTCTCAACTATTTTTTTAATCCTTTTTATGTTTATTTTTGTAAACTCTGGCAATTCCTTTGTGAAATAAGTCAGGGAATTTATAAGTAAATCAATAACTAAATCTAGGTTAAACCCTGATGTTGAAGTGCAAGACTATTGAACCGAAGCCTTATTTGTGAGTGCTTGCTATGTAATAGTTTTACAAAACTATTTAATTTTTGTATGATGTTTGTACCGGACCACTTTTTGTTTCATGTCCAAAATGTTAAAGAGTGAATGAGATGAAAAAGACAATTTTGAAGGTGTAAAGAAACTCAAGTACAACATCTGAAATATTATATAATTGGCAAAGAGGACATAAAAGAATGAGAAAGAAATTAAGATTACTTGACTTTAAGGGGGGAAATGATGATAAAGAAATTAAATAATAGTATTCAAGATGTTAGCCATCGTGACAACTGTTGTCTATCTCTTTAGAAAATAAAGCCTATGTAAAAATAAGAGGAATTAAGCTTAAAAGTCTGAAATGAACATTGGGAAGATGGTGTTGTGTGCTTAAGTAATATTTTACTAGAGAACTTTACGCTGGAATTTGCCCATTACCTTCCGTGTTATCTCTGTTTGCTGATGTCTTGTTAGTGTTGCCATGTTTATAAACATGAAGGAAGTGTACAACTAAAACACAAGAAATTTACAATGTTCACATTATTCCACTTGTTTTCAGATGTGAAAAGATAGGCCCAATCTCTTGACTACTGGTCCAAACTGATTTTTCTTTGGTTTTCAGGAAGAAGAAGATGGGGATGTAAGCTCTAGCCTAAATAGAAAAAAAAAGAAGAAGAAAAATGATAAACATTAAATATACAGTCCATGTTTCTGTGTCTGTTCTATTGTCTTTATATATAGTATAAAATATATATACTTATGAAAAATGTCAGAGGCCACAGAGTTCCCACCATTTTGTCCAATCACAAAGGACTGTTCTATTTCTCACTAAAAATTCCTTCTGTCTTCCTACTATCTGGCAATATTTCATTGAATTTTGAAATGATAAATGAAAACAGAGTATCAGTCATTTAGCTCTTTCCAAAATCCACAAGTGCTGGTCCTCTGCCACCCAAACTCCATTTCTATATGATATCAAAGAGGGTGTTTTTTAATAAAGAAATAATTGGTGTATAAGCAAAGAGCCATTGCCCATCTTAACACGGAAAGGGGTTTTTAGTAGAAAATTATTTAAGATCAGATCTTCCTGGAGACTGAGGTAACCACAATAAACTATCACTTAAATGATTTATCCTACTTTATCTCCATCAACAATTTGGGAAGTACTACCTAGTAATTGTATATGTCCCTTTATATTTTTCAAGGAATACTAATATTTTATCCCAAATCCATATTAACACAAAAGATTTTTTAATTTATGGAGAAGGTTAAGAACAGAAGAGGGAAAACAGCTGAAAGGCAAGAGGATATCAAATCTTTCATGTTTTCCTATGTGGATTTTTGTTGTCATGAGTTGTTCTAAATTCGTCATTATTTCCCACGTGCGTACTACCTGGGTAAGTTATGGCTTACATTGCCCTCCACTTGAAATGAAAAGCAGATTGTATGGCAGACTTGAATTATCCTCCAATATTGCATGATATATGATCCATCTCGGTGGGAAACTATTGTATATATTTCATAGTTACGATTTCCAAGATATCAAACTCCTCATTATCTTCCCGTGCTAGCCAGCTATAAATGCCCAAACACTCTAGCTTCCAGAATGTGCTTTTTGAAACTTATAGTCCTGAGCTCTGTGTATGTTTAGCATTTTATGGTGCTGTATAATATAGAAATATCATAATACTTTGTCAAAACCCCAGCTAGACTGTTGAGGGTATAGGCGTCATTTAATTCCTGGATGCAGCAGACGTTCTTTGGCATTTCCTATATAATATAATAAGCACCAAACGCAGTGCTTAAAATGAATATTTAAAAAATCAATCAAGCTTGAAATTTAATTTTATCTAATTGGTTTGCTATAGTCTAACAAAATCGAATGACATAAAAGTTTCACCTACCCTATATAATTTCATATTTTCTCCAATCATAAAAAATAGATTATTTTTTTCTCTTTTAACTTCCTTTGATATGATCTTTTAATTTACTAAGTTTACTTAACCCTCTCTTATATAGGTTGAAGAAAGTGTGTATCGTCCTCCCAGGGTAGTAATCACACGTGCAATATAATTTTACATCCGCCACTCTATTCATGCTTCGTTTCTACTGTGAATCTCCAAGGCAATTAGAGCACTTGAAGAGGACTTTGGTGCAGATGGCAAGAACTGATTGTTTTTATATATATACATTCCTGAAATTGGCTGAGCTAGAAGATACATACATCATCATTTCTGCTCCCCTAGGACCTTCCTGAATTAGGCACCTCATCTTTGGTTCCTCCTCGGACAGAAAGGAGCCATCAGCATGACTCACACCACAGTGAATATTACCAGTACCTCCAAGAACAAGTATGTCTCAACGAAAAATATGAAAGCAACAACAGCAGGTGGCTTATAAGCAGACCACATAGGGAAATATATTTTTTACATGTAGTTAGTATGTCTGCTTGAAAAAAATAAATCTACGGAAGTAGAAGAATACCCATAGCGAAACCCCCAAAAGAGTGTGAAGCTCATGTGTGTTTCTGATTAGCTAACATTTCTGATTTAGTATACTGACATGGCTGTGTTTCCTTAGCCAGCTGGGTTTATTGAATTTTTTTCTTAAAGTTAAAAAAAGAAGAAAAAAGACAAAAAGTGTATTTACTAAAACCATTTTATTATTGCTATTTTACCATCATACCAAATAATTACTTTGCTTGTGTTTTATCTCTTTTCATTTCTTTCTAATAGTAATATTACCATAAACTTATATCCAGAAATCACAAGGTAATGAAAATTCAAACATGTTGAGCCTGACCAATTATCAAACATTGCAAACTACAGTTAATATATTCATGACAGGTAAGAAACACATCTACCTGCCAATCCTACTGTGTAAACACAGTAAATTCTTGGAATTCTCCTTCTTACTGTAGAAAATACTGATTGAAAATGTCATTACCCTAGGATCTTTTTGAAATCCTGAGACTCAAAACAGGGCTGAAAACTCTTCCAACCAATTTTGTATTATTGTCTAAGATGGTTCAACCAGTTAATTGGTTGGCACAGGGAAACATGGGTCACCGTGTTTTCCTCAGAATGAAAATTTCTGTGATGAGCCAGACAAACTAAATGAGTTTATGAAACTAAAACGATAGCCTTAAGTTATGCTGGTTGTCCAAGCCTCTAATGGTATGACTAGAGAAAACACTTTGAGAAACAAAATCCATACACCCTGCCCTCACAAAGATTTTGCTCCAACCAGCATCACTAACAATCCCAAGAGCCCACATTTCTGGTTTCTTTAATTAAGGAAACTTCTTATTTAGCTGTAAAGACTGGTTGAAATTATGCAATTGAAAATTATAGATAAAATGGAAAGGACTGTGCACAGACTGTGTAAGAAAATTATTTTCTCTCAACTGACTGCATGTAGCTGTTTTTGGACTAACTGGGAATGTCTCAGTTTTATCCACGTATCTGATCCACATTCAGATTAATCCTACTGTTGTGATTTATGATGCCCTCAGTTTCATATTTACTGCTAGCTCAAACTAATAAGCTCTCTCTGGACAAGTGCCATGACACCAGGTCAACGCCCAGTTAATCACGCCATTGTGTTTCCACACATTTTGCCCTATGAATTATCTACAATGATAATTGATTAAAAACACATCTTGTATGATGTCATTTTTTTAAAAGGAGTAAGTTCAATTTTTCAAAGAAAGCTTGTTTTAGGTTTGTACAAGACACTTTGGGAACATCTTAAATCATTTTATTAAATACATTTTGCATTCATCAAAATATATATATATTTAGGATCAGCATTAATCACCATTAAAGTTTCTTCTTAGTCTCCACTTGTAAAGCCACAATGCTTTGAGTTCCAAATGTCAGCAAGAACTAGATCATATCAAAACATAAAGAGAGAGGGTAGTATATGGACAGTTTTACTTTTAACCTACACTACATAAATCTATTCTTCATATTCTAAACTTTATTGAGAGTAACCATTTTTTTTTTTTTGTAAATCACATTAAAATGTTCAGGATAACAGCATTACAACATAAGATATTATATGTACTACTGATTGTTCAGCGTTGAGACTAATTTCTATTAAATCTCTCCACATATAGCATAGTGTATCCTCCCCCCTTAAGAGGATGCCTTATCTTATTTTGCAATTTCCTACTATATTCAGCATATCTTAAAAGGAGAAAGTCAATTTTGGACACATCTTTTCCAAGTAAAGCAGACCCAGACCATACTAAATATTGAAGATGTATAAAAGAAGTTAAAGATAGTGCCAAAATATTAAACCAGGAAACAAAAGGTTTTATAACAATTTCTGATTTTCTACATCCTGACCTTAGGAGAGTTGCTTTACTTTTGTATCTATGTTCCTTAGAGTAAATATAACCTCTGTGTACTGACAACCCCAAATATATTACATTATGAAGATAATTATGAAGTTTAGCCACTGGCTGCCAGAAACAATCAGATCCACGAATATTGTGTGGTTGGTTTAACTACATTTATATTGTTTACATGGCACATAATTAAAAGAACAAAGAGAACAAATCCGTATTCTATTGGCTTAAGGGTCTGCAGGAGTACCTTAAGCAAATGGTTTTTAAATCAAAGTGAAGAAATTCTTTTTGGAAAGGAGATTGAGTATGGGGAAGATGTGGGAGAAATTAAAAAGAGCAAATAGAGAAGTAGATCTATGCAGACAGTACTGGGAAAATTCCACTAGTAATGCAACGTTGGCTCCATTGTTGGCCTTCATTTTCAAAATTGTTTTGCTTTATGTCCATATTCCCATTCACCATTACTTATTTTTTGTAAAAACTATTAGCTCTGGGTAAGCCAGCAATCGTAGGCAAACTTTAATCACTAGTATCAATATCTACCCTCCCTTATTTGACTTTATTTTATCTGCAAAATGACTGTAAGGGATTGATGATGAAAACTGTCCTATGTTAATGGCTCCATGCACTCTACATTGCCATTTCTTTTTCTTTTTCCTTTCAAAGATCTATTTGTTTTACAGAGAGAGAGAGAGAGGAAGAGAGAGAGCACAAGCAGGAGGGTAGAGGGAGAGAGAGAAAATCTCAAGCAGACTGAGCCTGATGTAGGGCTGGATCTCTGACCCTGAGAACACAACCTGAGCCAAAAGCAAGAGTTGGCTGCTTAACCGACTGTGCTGGCCAAGCATCCCTCCATTGCCATGTCTATAGCAAACCCATTTCATATTACAAAGTCATTTAACTTGAGGCTCATAATATACAACCACATATGCCATCATCCAATTGCTATCCTCTTTCTACTGAGTTCTTGGTTAAACCCTCATACTCACAGGGAACTGGGCAAATGCACCTCCAGGTTTCCAGCCTTCTCACTGGATCTACAGTAACTCTTCAAATCTCAATTTACCATTTGGATTATTCAGTCAAAATCCTAGTTATTTCATCCCTGAGATGAAATACCTGAGGCTTCTGTTTTAGTAAATCTGAGTTCTAAGATTATCTTTTCTGCTAATTCTATCAATTACTTGAGATTTGGAGGCCTTAGTTATTTCCTGATTAATAAGGAGAACAGCTTGGGTTGGATGATTGCTGAAGTCCAGTCAATTTAAAATTGGGGGGCGCCTGGGTGGCTCAGTTGG